TGTAATAGTACTAGTATGAAAAGCTAAATGTCCACTTTCAAAATAGAATACTATTACAAGAAAGGGAAAACCATAGAAAGAGCAAGTCACAATCAACAATATCCAAATGCCCAGTTAAAATATACCAATTTTCAAAATACAAAAATAATATATATTTTTGGTTGGGAGATCATTAGCACTGATATACCATCGTATTTTTAGCATGGAGTCTGATCACGCCCGATCGACTAGGCCATCTCCCCACGGACAATGTGGTTTGACATGTGAACCAAGAGTAGTACTACCATGTGCGCAACATGGCGTCCGATCTCCACCTGATCGGCTAGGCCGCCTTCCCACATATTCCATGTAGGTTGACTTTCCAATTCACAACTAATATCAATCTTATCCCAAATAAGGGGAATAATCACAATCCATCACAATCCACCCCTACACCAACACGTGTAGTTTCGGGTGTGGGCCTTATGACCCACCCTTCCTCAGTTTGCTAATGATACTCCCAAAAGCATTTTTTTATTTTTGCACACAAAGGTAATATAATTACAAATGTATTCACCTCATCATCTTTCACATTTTATAAACCTTCATTAGTATTTTCAACCACTCACAACAATAATATTTCCTTGGCTCTTTTGGCCATTCACAAGATCCTTTATTCAATGCACGTCAGCCGTATGTCATATTCCACACTTTCTTTTCTTTACTTTCAAGGATCACCATCAAACATCAACATATAGAGTATTCCAAAAATCACAACTTTAAGTTATTAGCAGCGAAGACTTAAACACAATGAATTCCTTTCCAAGAAATGAAGTAAAATGGTTGGCAATCAAAGCACAAGTTAGAAGCATAAACGAGTAACACATCATTTAATCTTGCAATACTTTTCCCAAAAAGGGCAATACACAATTTCAACTCATATATATATATATATATATATATATATATGAGCTAAAGATACATTGGAAACACTTACAAAGCATCGCATTAGTTAAAACAACCATGTTTGGGCACAAATATAACTCTCATTATTGGCACGGTGGCCACACTATCCATCTCCAATCCCCTTCTTTCACTTTCGAGCGTCCTTATAGATTATCAATAACAAGGCATTTTAGTTCAAGATTTTAGATACACATTTCAGCAACTAACCAAATTAAGGGTCGTAGACACATATGGTTTCTTACACAAGTCGACATGCTAGTTTTCATTAAAGTCACGCTTCAAATCATGACATATTAACACACATCCCATGTTTAATAACTTTCTAAAATAGGAACTTAACAAATAAGAACGTTTGGAATACAATTTGAACGCATATATCTTTGACACAAGGCTTGTTCAGAATAATCTATTATAATGAGCAACACGGGACTTACAATGCCATTATGGGGTTCAATTCTAAAAGAGAAATTTAGCCAACATACATTGTTTGAGCTTTCCTTAAGTTACTACAACATCCCAACACTTTTAGCAATAACAATCTATAAGAAGGTAGTAAAAATCGGATAATAATTAGAATGATTCACATGGTGTAACTCTCTTAGGAATTTTGTCGAACACCTAGTACGCAAAATGGGCTACAAAGCTCTACAATGGTAATCTCTTCCTCCCTTAACCAATTTCAACAAGAAAACACCCAAACTAGTTCATTAAACCCACACATTACAACCTATTGTCACATGCACGACCTATTTCAAGCCCCCATAACCTAATTAAACCCATAACAATTGCATGAAGGTTTTAGGACAAGGTCTTACCCGGATAGATGATAATCTAGTAATTGGTTTCCTTGATTCATGAAGGTTGGTGCAAGATTGGATGATTAGAGTGTTAAGTTTACTCCTTCTCTCTCTAAAATGCTCTTACATCTCTCTAAAATTATCACATAATTGCAAAAAAATGAGCCCCAAAGGCTATTTATCAAAATAGGGTCGGGTTATAAAAATAGAAAAATGGACCCTCTAAACTCAGGTCTGCGGTCGCAGAACTAACCGCAAAATAGGCATGCGATCCTCATAATGGACCGTGAAAGTGATGCCCAAAAATTGGGATGATTTGGACAGGTCTGCGACCGGTCTGCGGTCCGCAGACCACTTTTGCAGCCGCAGAATGGGCCGCAGAATTGCCCAACAAAATTTCCTCATAGAACTCTACCACCGAAGTGCAGACCGCGAAATAGGTTTGTAATCGCAAAATGGACCGCGAAACAACCTTCAAAATTCAACAACTCCCTGCACAACTTCGCGATGCTTATGCGGCCCGCAGAATGGATCTGCGGCCGCAAATCTGACCGCATAATTGGCCCTTCAGCAAAAATTTTATCCACCAACACCTCGATACATTCTTCAACCCAAAAAGTCGGTACTACAACCTCAAACACATAAGCCTACTTCGACACCATGAACCCTTAAATTCCTTGTCAAAATTTTCGTGGCCTTACATTTTGACTTTTTATTCTCTCACAGATTGTGAGAACACCCACTGCTAGATCCGGTGATTAGACATTCGCACCCCCTACTAGAGCCGTGAGAGGCCGGTGCTGGGGAAGAGGTCGATGTGGGGCACGTGGTTTAGCTAGAGCACCTGCCCAAGCTTTGATAGAGGAGCTACCAGTAGCTCCAGTTGGGGGACAGGCACCCAAGGCACCTATTGCCACCCCTACACTTAAGGAGACCCTCGCACATTTCATGAGCATGTTCGGTACCTTAGCTCAGGCGGGGTTGATTCCACTTGAACCAGCCACATCTCAGGCTGGGGGAGGATCTTAGACTCCCACGACCCGTACCCTAGAGCAGCGGGTCCATGTTGACCAGGTCCCAAAGGTTATACCAGTACATCTTTTTGTTCCGATTCAGCTTGGTGTTAGGGCAGCTGCATCTAAGGAGGAGCAACTTAGACTTGAGAGGTTCAAGAAGTATCACCCTCCTACTTTCAGTCGTTTAGCTTCCAAGGATGCACATGTTTTTCTAGAGGAATGCCATTGTATTCTCCGCACCAAGGGTATTATGGAGACGAGCAGAGTTGCTTTCACTGCTTTCCAACTGTTAGGAGCAGCATATCAGTGGTGGAAGGTGTACGAAGAGGGTAGCTCAGCCGATGCAACTTCACTTACATGGACTCGGTTTTCAGAGTTATTCTTGAGAAGTTTGTTCCTTAGGCCCTTCGGGATGCATAGCGCGCGGAGTTTGGGCAGCTGTGCCAGGGAACTATGACAGTGTTAGAGTATGCTGTCTGATTCAGTAATTTGTCTAGATATGCACCTGCCTTGGTTTCTACAGTTAGAGAGTGAGTCCGTCGATTTATCGAGGGGCTCAACTATGGTATTAGATTCAGCATGGCTCAAGAGTTGGAGATAGATACTCCATATCAGTAGGTGGTAGAGATTTCAAGGAGGTTGGAGGCTATGCAAGGCCGTGAGAGAGAGGACAAGGATTTAGTGGTGGTCACGGTACAGCTACAGCCCGTCATGGTAGAGGCTATGTGAGCTGTCCATTTCACTCAACACTTCCGTCTTCTAGTGGTGCTCCGGTTATTTCGAGGTCTCAGGTTGCACACTTTTCTCAGCCACTTTCTAGTGCATCTCCTGCACGGGGTGCCTTCAGCGGTTAGTCTAGCCGACCAGACCCGAGCCAGTCCTAGTAGCCACACCTACCGAGAGCTTTCTTTGAGTGTGGTGATACCCATCATATAGTTAGAGACTGCCCCAGGCTTAGGAGGGGTGCACCTCCACAGACTACTCAGGCTCCACAGATTCAGTCAGGTCCATAGACTTCTCAGGCCATGGTTTCTACCCCAGTTGCCCCTCCACCCACACAACTAGCTAAGGGTGGGGGACAGACGGCTAGAGGTTGCCCTAGAGGGGGAGGCCAGGCCATATTCTATGCTTTTCCAGGTAGGACAGACGCAGTTGCTTCTGATGCAATCATTATAGGTATGGTTACGGTTTTCCATAGAGATGTATCAATCTTATTTGATCCGGGATCCACTTATTCATATGTGTCATCTTACTTTGTTCTGTATTTGGATATATCTTGTTATTCTTTGAGTTCTCCTGTTTATGTTTCCACGCCTGTGGGAGATTTTATTATTGTGGACTGTGTGTATCGGTCGTGTTTAGATGTTGTTGGTGTTTTTGAGACTAGAGTTGATCTATTATTGCTTAGTATGGTAGACTTTGATGTTATCTTGGACATGGACTGGTTGTCTCCCTATCATGCTATTCTAGATTGTCACACCAAGACTGTGACATTGGCTATGCCAGGTTTGCTATGGTTAGAGTGGAATGGTGCATTGGATTATGTTCCTAGCAGGGTTGTGTCTTTTCTAAAGGCCAGCGGATGGTTGAGAAGGGGTGTTATGCTTATCTAGCCTTTGTAAGAGATGTCAGTGCTGCCAGACATGCCGCCCGATAGGGATATAGACTTTGGTATTGACTTGTTGCTAGGCACTCAGCCCTTTTCTATTCCACCATATCGCATGGCCCTAGCGGAGTTGAAGGAGTTAAAGGAGTAGTTGCAAGAGTTTCTTGATAAGGGTTTCATTTGGCCTAGTGTGTCGCCTTGGGGTGCACCGATGTTGTTTGTGAAGAAAAAGGATGGTTCTATGCGCATGTGTATTGATTATCGGTAGTTGAACAAGGTTACAGTGAAGAACATGTATCCATTGCCAGGCATTGATGACCTATTTGATCAGCTACAATGTGCCATAATATTTTCAAAGATTGATTTACGGTTAGGTTATCATCAACTAAAGATTCTGGATTCGGATATTTCGAAGACTGCCTTTAGGACCAGGTATGGTCACTACGAGTTCCTTATGATATCATTTGGGCTGACCAACACCCCAACAGCATTTACGCACCTGATTAACAGTGTATTCAAGCTATATCTTGATTCATTCGTCATTGTGTTTATTGACGACATCTTTGTGTACTCCAGACCTTGAGAGAAAAGAAGTTGTATGCAAAATTCTCAAAGTGTGAATTTTGGCTTGATTCGATGGCATTTTCACATCATGTGGTGTCAAGTAAGGGAATCAAGGTAGATCTAAAGAAGATTGAAGCAGTTCAGAGTTGGCGCAGACCGCCTTCAGCTACTGAGATTCGGAGTTTCCTTGGTTTGGACAGGTACTATCGCCGTTTGGTAGAGGGTTTATCATTTATTGCTGCATCTATGACCAGATTGACCCAGAAGGGTGCTCATTTCATATGGTACGAGGAGTGTGAGGCGAGCTTTCAAAAGCTCAAGACTACTTTGACTACAACTCCAGTGTTGTGATGCATCACGTGTTGGCCTTAGCGCGGTGTTGATGTAAGACAGTAGGGTGATTGCCTACGCATCTCGGCAGTTGAAGACCTATGAGAAGAATTATCTGGTCCACGACTTAGAATTGGCAGCTATTGTTCATGCATTGAAGATTTGGCGGCACTATTTGTACGGTGTTCCTAGTGAGGTATATACCGACCACCGGAGTCTACAACATCTGTTCAAACAGAAAGATCTTAACTTGCGGCAGTGGAGATGGTTAGAGTTTCTTAAAGACTATGATTCACTATTTTATATCATCTCGGGAAGGCCAATGTGGTGGCCGATGCCTTGAGTGGAAAGGCGGAGAGCTTGGGCAGTTTAGCATATCTACCGGCAGTAGAGAGGCCACTAGCCATGAATGTTCAGGCCTTGGCCAACCAGTTTGTTAGATTGGATATTTCGGAGCCTAGTCGAGTTCTTCCTTGCGTGGTTTCTTGGTCTTCTTTATATGATCGCATCAGAGATTGTCAGTATGACAACCCCCATTTGCTTGTCCTTAAGGACACAGTGCAGCACGATGATGCGAAGGAGGTTTCTATTAGTGATGACGGGGTGTTGCAGATGCAGGGCCGATTATGTGTGCCCAATGTGGATGGGTTGCATGAGTTGTTCCTTGAAGAGGCTCACTGTTTGCGGTACTCCATTCATCCAGGTGCCGCTAAGATGTATCAAGATTTGAGGCAACATTAATTGTGGAGGAGAATGAAGAAAGACATAGTGGAGTATGTAGCTCAGTGCCTAAGTTGTCAGCATGTGAAGTATGAGCATTAGAGGCTGGGTGGTTTGCTTTAGAGACTTGAGATTCCCGAGTGGAAATGGGAGCATGTTACCATGGACTTCGTTGTTGGGCTCCCACGAACTCAGAATAAATTTGACGCGGTATGGGTGATTGTGATCAGGTTGACCAAGTCATCTCATTTTATTCCGGCAGTGACTACCTATTCTTCAGAGCAGTTGGCTCAGATATATATTTGCGAGATTGTCCGACTTCATGGCATGCCCGTATCCATCATCTCTGACCGGGGTGCATAGTTCACATTGCATTTCTGGAGAGGTGTACTGTAAGGCCCCGTAAAATTTTGCAAAGGTAAAAAATAATGTTTCATGGTGCCGGACTAGGATTACGTGTTTGAGGATTGTAGAAATTCTTCATGGCGAGTTTGCAAGCCGCGACTCAGACTTTTTGGGTTGAACAATGCACCGGAGAGTAAAGGAAAATTTTCAGCAAAAGAATACATTTCTGTGGCCCACTATGCGGTCGCAGAATCACTCTGCGGACCGCATATTGGTCGCAGAGTGAGACAGGAAAGGGGAGGTTTGGAGATAAGGTTTGCGGCACATTATGCGAACGTAGACCAATTCTGCGGTGCATTATGCGACCGCAGAACAGGTCCGCGGGCTGCATAATGACCGCAGACCAGGTCAGTCACGCCCAGTTTTGGAGGCCAAATTATGCGGCCGATATGCGGTCCGCATATCGATTATGCGATCGCAGACCTTGTTCCGGAGCTCCATTTTTGGGTTTTTAAAACACGACCCTACCTCATTAAATACATGCTTTGGGCCATTTTGAGCTAAAATCTGACATTTTAGAGTGAGAGAGAGTGCCCTAGAGTGAGAAGTTATTCCTCAATAATTGTTCTTCAATTCTTGCTCAAAATTTGGAAGATTAAGAAGGGAAATTCACTAGGTCTTCATCCTAGAGGTAAGATTCTACACCCTAACCCTCAATTTCAAATTTTGTCTAGAAATGGGTAATTGGCAAGATAATTTTTGGGCATGAGAGTTGTTTATTTTACATGCATGTGTTATCAAAGGGTGTAGGAAGATTGTTGAGCTAAAAATGGTAAAGATTGGGTTGTGGGATGATGGAATCCTCCATGAAAAGACCTTGAAACCTTATGCACAGCTAGTGTTTGATAAAATGCTCAAATGAGCTAAAACCATGATCATCTTCCTAATTTTGGTTCAATTTGTTATATTTCTAAAATAGATTGAAGTTGCTAAGAATTCCGGAATATTTTAGAGTTTAAGGAAGCTCAATTGAGGTATGTTGGCTAAACTCTTCTTAAAGAATTGGAATCCCCATTATCCTTGTAAGTTCCAAGATGTTGATGACAAATCGAGTATTCCGATAAGTTTTGTGATAAAGATATATGTTCAATTCGTGTTTCAAATGCTCTTATCATATTGCATTATAAATTGAGGATGTGTTCCAAAATATGGATTGTGTATGCACATGTTATAATTTCAAGTCGTGATTTATGTGGAAGTTATTATGCAAAATTGTGTAGAGATTGTGATTGTGATACACCTCCACACGTATATATTAGGGTGAGGCGACATGACCGCTTTGTGTAGGGATTATGGTATTGTGGGATTGCACCTCCACCCGCATACATTGGGGGTGAGGCGGTACGACCGCTTTGTGTATAGTTGTTACACCACCACCCACATATATATATTGGGGTGAGGCGGCATAGCCGCTTTGTGTAGGTATTGGTATCGTTGATGCATTTTTACCCGTATATATTGGGGGTGAGGCGGCATGACCACTTTGTGTAGGGATTATGGTATTGTGGGATTGCATTTCCACCCGCATACATTGGGGTGAGGCGGCATAGCCGCTTTGTGTAGGTATTGGTATCGTTGATGCATTTTTACCCGTATATATTGGGGGTGAGGCGGCATGACCACTTTGTGTAGGGATTATGGTATTGTGGGATTGCATTTCCACCCGCATACATTGGGGTGAGGCGGCATAGCCTCTTTGTGTAGGTTCTTAGAATTGTGGTTATACCTCCACCCGCATATATTGGGGTGAGGCGGCAAGGCCGCTTGAGTAGAGTTGTGGTATTGTGCTTACACCTCCACCTGCATACATTAGGTGAGGCGGCGGGGCCGCTTTGTGTAAAGATGGTTACAGAGGATCTCATCGTAAATCCTATAAATGTTATTGAAAACTCTTAATAAGCTTGCTTTGGTTTAAACGGTTATCTATATTATTCTATTGCCGCCCCGATTCATCAAATTCATATTGTATTTTTGAATTCTTAAATTGGTGTTTGGTTTTCATACTAGTACTATTCGACGGTACTAACGTCCCTTTTGTCGGGGGCGCTGCATCTTTAAATGGATATAGGTGGTTCCACAGCAGGAGATATTGATCAGTGATAGTAGTACACCTTCTTCCCAGCTGACTTGGTGAGCCCCACTTCATCCCGGGGTCATGTATCTTTTGTTCTTTATGTATTATGGTTGAGGTATAGTTGGGGCCTTGTTGCCGGCATTATCATAGTACTCTTCTTTATCTGTAGAGGCTCCGTAGACATAGTGTGGGTTGTATATTGGTGCTGGGGAAGTCAAACTCGTTATGTTGTGTTTGAATTACTATTTCAAATTCAGATTATGAAAAATTTGTGTGAAATTGAGACCTTAAAATGAAGTAACTAATGGTAAGAAATTGGTATTGCAGACATAATCACTTTATTGTTTGAATAACGAAAACATATATTCTCTTTATTCATGAATGAGATGGGTAGAAGGAAATCTAATAGGCTTGCTCGGCCGGGTTCACTCGGTTGAGCGCCGGTCATGCTCTCCGGTTTTGGGGCGTGACATGTACAACATGAGCTAGGTGCATAGGTTGAGTTGAGTACAACAATTCACCTCCAGTTGGAGAGCGCGTTTTGCTCTGGGTTTCACCTATGAAGGATGTGATGAGGTTCGGAAGGAAAGGAAAGTTGAGCCCTAAGTATATCAAACCTTTTGAGATCCGTGAGAGGATTGGTGAGGTGGCCTACAAGCTTGCATTGCCACCTAGTTTGTCTGCGGTTTATCTAGTGTTCCATGTTTATATGCTCCAGAAGTAATATGGTGATCCCTCTCATATTTTAGAGTTCAACTTAGTCTAACTGGATAAGGATTTGACTTATATTGAGGAGCTGGTGGTTATCTTGGATAGACAGGTCCGGAAGTTGAGATCAAAGAACATTGCATCAGTGAAGGTTCAATGGAGGGGTCATCCGGTCATGGAGGCGACCTGGGATGCACGTTCGATGATGATTGTTTATTTTAAGAGGGGGAGAATGTAACGACCCGATCGGTCGTTTTGTGTAATTCTGCCCCGTTTCCCCTTTTGATGCTTCACACATGTGTGTTTATGGTTTTATGACTTACAGGGTTGATTAGTTTCATTCTGGGAAGCTTTCGGGTTGATTCAGACACTTTGATCCTTGACTTAGAAGTTTAAGTTAAAAATGTTGACAAAACTTTGAATTTTGTGAAAACGACCTCGGAATGGTATTTTGGTGGCTCCGATAGCTTCGTATTATGATTTAGGACTTGGGCGTATGCCCGAAATTGATTTTGGAAGTCCGTAGGTTGATTTGGGTTGTCTTGCCGAAATTTGGCAATTTGAAGTTGAAATGTTTGACTGTAGATTGACTTCTAGCTATCGAGCTTAGAATTTGATTTTGGGATTTGGAGTAGGTCCGTTATGCTATTTAGAACTTGTGTGCAAAATTTGATATCATTTGGAGTTGATTTGATAGGATTCAGACGTGTAGTTGTAATTCTGGTGATTCTTGAACGTTACTTCGAAATTCATGTATTTTAGTATTCTATTCGTAGTTTTAGATGTTATTTTTGTATTTTGATCACGCGAGCGATTTCAAATGATGTTTTTAGACTTGTGTGGATGTTTTGTTTGAAGCCCTGAGGGCTCGGATGAGTTTCAGACATGTTTCAGAAGGTTTTGAACTGAAAATGGAAAATCTGGTGCCTCTGGTGTCGCATTTGTGAACACCAGGTTCGCAATTGCAATCTTAGCGGGGGGACCTTAGGTATCGCAATTACAATACCTGGCTCGCATTTGCGAAGAAGTTCAGGTAGAGGGCTAGTTCGCATTAGCGACAAAACAGTCGCATTTGCATTAGAGACATGCTTCCCAAATGCGAAGCTAGAGCCGTAATTGCGACCTCCGCATAGGACTGACAGTGGCCGCATTTGCGAGGAATACTTCACAATTGTGAACCCATGTCATAATTGCGACATTAGCAGCTGATCAAAAGGATTGGAAGTCGGGATTTCATCTCATATTCTCTCATTTTAGAACCTTAGACTCGGTAGGAGGCGATTTGGAGAGGGAATTTTCATCTACAAACTATGGGTAACTGATTCTAATCTATTTCCAATTATATTCCATCAATATATATTAGATTTTAACATCAAAATCATGTGAATCAAAGTAAAAATTTGTGAAACTTTGTCAAGTTTTAGAAAAATAAGAATTTAAGTTTTGAGAGTCGATTTGGACGCGGATTTTGAAACTAATCCCATATATGAATTCATGGGGTCATGGGTAGTCGAAATCTACCATTGGACCCGGGTTTTGACCAGGCGAGCCCCGGGTTGACTTTTGTTGACTTTTTGGGAAAAGTGTAAAGATCATAATTTTATCTATTGTAATTGATTTCCCTTGTATTGTTTGATGATATTAAGTCGATTTTTGTTAGATTTGAGTCGTGTGGAGGCGAATTTTAGGGGAAAATCTATTTCCGAGGGTTGAATTGGCCTAGTTGAGGTAAGTATCTTGCTTAACCTTTTGTGGGGGAACTACCCCTTAGGATTTGGG